AATCCACCTGTTGCTGAGCTTAACCCCGATATATTACCATCTTAGATATTTTGTTTTTGTTAGATATTTTCTGGGGCTCAGATGAGCCTCAATTGGAATAAAAAAATAATTATTATTATTCAAACCCAAAAAATGAGGTCAGAGTTACAAAAAAAATGTCATCCAGAAACATCTACACGCAACTCTGGCTTAACATACGACGGAAAAATTTGTTGACCAGTGTAATCAGTTAACTGAACTATTTTTAAAAATAAAATGCACAAAAATCATAAAATATGCAATTACATTCAACATGAGAATTGTAACTCTTGTTTTTTGAGCATTTTTTAATCCATAAAATTAATCAATTGTCATTAATTTTTCATAAACTCATCTCGGAAGATAATTGGTTTGTGCGTTTATTGAAAAAAAAAGATACATATGTAAAATAAACACATGGTTATGCAGACCTAGCATGTCTTTAGTTTATAAAATAATTGTGGTTCATTCATTGCAATAAAAAATGCATTATTATTGTATTACAATGCTAAAATTAGAATCATTTATTTTATGATCAAAATTAACTCTTCCACATATTTTCCATACACAATTTTAAAAAAATGTATTGGATGATTTTTTTTTTTTTATTCCTCATCTAAAAATAAATAAACAAATAAACGAATGAATAAATAAATAAATACTTTGCCCGTGCCTGGTCTACGGTGATTCCCTAATTGATCTTTTACACATTCTTGGGCCTGAAGGACGGCCGCTTGAGAAGCGGCGACCACATCTTAAGGATCGGGGACACTGACCTGTACGGGATGGGCAGCGAGCAGGTGGCGCAGGTGCTGCGGCAGTGCGGCAACCGGGTGAAGCTGGTCATCACTCGGGGCCACGTGGACGAGAACCCCTCCGTCTCCGCGTCCACGCCGGCGTCGCGCCCCGCGGACAAGGTCGGCGTCCGTCGGAGAGCAGCATTGGCGTCCGTATCGCGCGGCCACGCCCCTGTGCTAAAATTGCCCAACCCTTTTCACAGGGCGAGGAGAAAGAAGAAGAAGAAGAAGGCGCGTTTGATGTGAGCCTCATCAAGAACACACAGGGGCTGGGGATCACAATTGCCGGTTATGTCGGGGATAAAAATGCAGGTGAGCAGTATTGATTGAACCAAAACTGACCCGTTGCAGAAAATTGTAGCTTAACAAGACCGTACAGTACTTTCGGGACATTTTATCGGAATAAGTTGAAACCATATGGGAGGGGTAAAACTATTTCTGTCCTTCGGTTTCTCAGAGCCCTCCGGTATTTTCGTCAAGAGCATCACAAAAGACAGCGCTGTAGATCAAGACGGTCGTATTCACGTGGGAGACCAGATAGTGGCTGTAAGTACCTGAGCAGGCACCAAGGCTTTCTTCGAATTGCTGTGTTTATTGTTAAACCGACCGAATCATAACTGGCCTTTTGGGGGCCCACAAGGAGGGTGACAAATCTTAATTTTTCGCCCACGTTGTTGTTTGTGGGTGTACAAGTAGCCCCTGACAACATTTCCACTGATTGACAGGAAATTAGATGTACGTGTATATGTCATGAAAAATATGCAGTAACCTGCCTGGAAGTAAACAGTCATTTTGTTTGAAGAAGCCATTTTCTGGGGCTCAAATGAGCCTCAATTGGACGGCGCAAATGCATAGAGCCACATTGTAACGCTTTTTTTTTTACCACAACTTGGTACCACCAAAAATGGCTTCATGTCGGACCCTGCTTGGAGTTAAATGATTTTTTTGTTTTTCAATATCAATCTGGTGACTCATTCACCTTTTGCGAGTGCTGCAATCATTTAGCCCCTCCACCCCAACCCTTAAAAAGGTCAACGCGAATTACTATCACTAATATTAACAATATATGTTATGTGGGAAATGTTTTACAGTATGTGAGCCATCGATAGGGAGCAATGAATCCATTCAGTCTGTGGATTTGCATAATTTTGAGGAATTAACAATTCATGGCACATTTTTCCTGGGAATATCAAAGATTCAACACAATGAGCCATCGCGTTCTTAAAGACTATCCATAAAAAATGAGTTCTGAATGGATCGCCTACTTTTTTTTTTTTTTTTTTTTTACCAACCAACAGGCCGTGGAAGTCCTCCGCCACACGGGTCAGGCCGTCCACCTGAAGTTGATTCGCCGGGGATTCCGGCCCGATGAGATTCCACCTGCTGTGGCCCCCGTCGTCACCATCCTGCCCCCATCAGCGGCGGTCCTGAAGGAGCTCGACATGGAGGGACCGACGGAAACTTACCAAGGTAGGCTCAGGCTGCGGGTGCAAGCAAGTGTTTTGTTCCAATTTTCGCATATTTCTATTCTTTTGGTCGGAACTACATTTTTTTTAAAGAATACGGCATATCCACAGTTTTGTCTATTTGCTCAAACTTATTGCTCTGGCTTCATCTCGTGGCATCATAGTGTCAAAGACGTATGCTGAAGTGAGTTGAGTAGTTTCATTTTGACATTGGTAGCGCTTTGCTGCCACCTTGTGGCTGCAACACACAACTGCAAGCTATTTTGAGGCCATTAAAATATATATATTTTTCTGTTCGGGGCATGGCTTAGCGCTCTTTCAAATAGTGAAGATTCATGGCTAAATCATTGTGAGGTTAAGTTAGTTCAAGACGTTCAACGGGAACATTCGCACTGCCGATACATTTTGGGTGTCCTGGATGGTCCACAACGGGGCAGTGATACATTATCTTTATTGGTGTAGTTTCGACAAAATAAATGTAAAGAAGAAGAAGAAGAAGGCGCGTTTGATGTGAGCCTCATCAAGAACACACAGGGGCTGGGGATCACAATTGCCGGTTATGTCGGGGATAAAAATGCAGCAACATACTTTCAAGTGCAACAGTTCCACATTGTTTGTGTCGAGCATTACGTCTGACCTCCCTCATCGACGGTGCCTTGTGTGCCCAGATGAAAAGCAGCCACAGACAATGAACGAAGGACCTGCTGTCACGCCGGTTGTAGATCAGCTGACACAAGAGAATGATGGTAGGAGGCCGTGGGGAGGGGGTGGGGGTGAGGGTGTATCAAACAACCTAGCAACACAGTTACAAATGCTCAAATGGTGCGTGTTGTTTGAGATTAGCTGGCACTGTTAACTGTGTCCTCCCTTAAAGGTACAACAACGCTGACACCCTTCCAGGAAGAGGAACTTGTGAAAAAGTGGCAAGGGATTCTGGGCGCAAATAATGAAGTCGTCGTAAGTGGGTGAGCAGTATTGATTGAACCAAAACTGACCCGTTGCAGAAAATTGTAGCTTAACAAGACCGTACAGTACTTTCGGGACATTTTATCGGAATAAGTTGAAACCATATGGGAGGGGTAAAACTATTTCTGTCCTTCGTTTTCTCAGAGCCCTCCGGTATTTTCGTCAAGAGCATCACAAAAGACAGCGCTGTAGATCAAGACGGTCGTATTCACGTGGGAGACCAGATAGTGGCTGTAAGTACCTGAGCAGGCACCAAGGCTTTCTTCGAATTGCTGTGTTTATTGTTAAACCGACCGAATCATAACTGGCCTTTTGGGGGCCCACAAGGAGGGTGACAAATCTTAATTTTTCGCCCACGTTGTTGTTTGTGGGTGTACAAGTAGCCCCTGACAACATTTCCACTGATTGACAGGAAATTAGATGTACGTGTATATGTCATGAAAAATATGCAGTAACCTGCCTGGAAGTAAACAGTCATTTTGTTTGAAGAAGCCATTTTCTGGGGCTCAAATGAGCCTCAATTGGACGGCGCAAATGCATAGAGCCACATTGTAACGCTTTTTTTTTTACCACAACTTGGTACCACCAAAAATGGCTTCATGTCGGACCCTGCTTGGAGTTAAATGATTTTTTTGTTTTTCAATATCAATCTGGTGACTCATTCACCTTTTGCGAGTGCTGCAATCATTTAGCCCCTCCACCCCAACCCTTAAAAAGGTCAACGCGAATTACTATCACTAATATTAACAATATATGTTATGTGGGAAATGTTTTACAGTATGTGAGCCATCGATAGGGAGCAATGAATCCATTCAGTCTGTGGATTTGCATAATTTTGAGGAATTAACAATTCATGGCACATTTTTCCTGGGAATATCAAAGATTCAACACAATGAGCCATCGCGTTCTTAAAGACTATCCATAAAAAATGAGTTCTGAATGGATCGCCTACTTTTTTTTTTTTTGGAATGTCTCCCTGTATTTGGTACAATTTGGGATGCAAAATTGTTCCAAACACAGGGAGACATTTTCATCACAATGTTGTTGGCTAAGAGTAGAACACTCACAAGGTGTGTGTATGAATCCCCGGGCTCCCGCTCGCTCGCCGCCCCTGCAGGTGGACGGCGTGGACATCCAGGGATACACCAACCAACAGGCCGTGGAAGTCCTCCGCCACACGGGTCAGGCCGTCCACCTGAAGTTGATTCGCCGGGGATTCCGGCCCGATGAGATTCCACCTGCTGTGGCCCCCGTCGTCACCATCCTGCCCCCATCAGCGGCGGTCCTGAAGGAGCTCGACATGGAGGGACCGACGGAAACTTACCAAGGTAGGCTCAGGCTGCGGGTGCAAGCAAGTGTTTTGTTCCAATTTTCGCATATTTCTATTCTTTTGGTCGGAACTACATTTTTTTTAAAGAATACGGCATATCCACAGTTTTGTCTATTTGCTCAAACTTATTGCTCTGGCTTCATCTCGTGGCATCATAGTGTCAAAGACGTATGCTGAAGTGAGTTGAGTAGTTTCATTTTGACATTGGTAGCGCTTTGCTGCCACCTTGTGGCTGCAACACACAACTGCAAGCTATTTTGAGGCCATTAAAATATATATATTTTTCTGTTCGGGGCATGGCTTAGCGCTCTTTCAAATAGTGAAGATTCATGGCTAAATCATTGTGAGGTTAAGTTAGTTCAAGACGTTCAACGGGAACATTCGCACTGCCGATACATTTTGGGTGTCCTGGATGGTCCACAA